AGGAATGATGCTCTCGGAAGATCAGAGGTATCTCACGGGCACCACCACTGCACTGCCACAGCCATAATCACAATCATCTGCAACCAGTGAATAACCTTGGGGCTCAGAACCACGAAGCATCTGAAATGTCAAGCCAGCTCAGCATGCAGGTATTATCGGTGTACTAAAGCAATGACCGCTCAAGAGAAAGGGCAGGAAGGCTTTGTTGAAAAACACTGGTCTCAGTGTGCCTGGTCAGTCCTGCCCCTGCCCCGAGACAGGACACCAGCTCATCCTAGTGCCCAGGCTGCGGCTCTGGGCAGACCCACACGGGGGGCTGCACCCCTGTCTCCATCCCCACACCAGCGCCCGCTGCCTTCCCCAGGACCCCATGCTGCAAAACTCCTCAAGCAGCAACCGTGCCAGCAGGAGGTTAATCAGAAAGACTTTTTGAGTTACCAAACACATGGTTCATGCATCGGATTCACTACAGCCAGGGTTTGATGGAGGAGGGCACACCTAAAACCAGACCTCCCAGAGCTGCCTGGCAGGCAGAGCACCCCGTCCCTGCTCGCGCTCCCGTCGGCTGGGGACTGCCGTCTGCTGGCCTCCCGCTCCCGGGGAAGCTTTAGTCTGAGCTTGCTCGGCACGGAGCAGGAAGCCTCAGAAGCGAGAGACGGAGGCAAATGCCTTTGAAGATGCAACAAAATGTGAGCACAGTGGATTTTCTGGTGATGAGATCCACGACAGATAGGTGAGATTTTAGCATGCCTCACCTCACGGAGTTCTCCCTTCCCTTTTAGCAAAAGGTAAGGAGAAGGGCTTCTCTGTCTGTCGCCACTTTCCTGCTGCTCCTGGCAAAGCTACCTTCTTTAAGGAAAGAATATGGAATATGTACTTTATATGTACTTTTTTTTAAGCACGTAAATGCTTTATATAGCTGGGGCTTCCTCCTGTATTACTGGGGGATTCAGTGATTTCCTAATACCCTAATTGCTTGTTTAACAATGGGAGCTAGACAAATTCCTCGGCCTTTCTTCCGAAGTACCTATCTAGCAAAAGGTAGCAGAAACTCAGATAAAGAAAATCCCCTATTATTAGCTTGAGTGGGTTTTAGGTCTGTTGTAAGCATTCACCTGTTTGTGAGAGGGCAACGGCAACAAGTCACTTCAAGGGTCAAGGCACTTCCAAAGGGAAGAAAGAGCACAGGCAGCAGTTTGGAGACTCCTGTTACAGACTACACTCATAATGCACTTTTTTTTTAGTATATAAACATCTCTTCTTTTAAAGCACAATGGTGCACGATTTCAAAATAGTATGTCCTTCTGAAAAAAAGACAGATATTTACAAGCAGCTTCAGACTGGAGAGCTTAATGAGGCAATTTCCTTGCAGCCAGGCTTGGGGAAGGAAGGGTGGTGACATGCGGAACATAAGGCCAGAGCATTTGGAGCCAACTTCGTCCGTTTCTAAACACTCTTATATATGGTCATTTACACTGTTATTACAAAAACTTCTGATGGTCAATATGATGCTTCACTTAATGTATGAAGAGACTAAAATCTCTAGGTAATCCCATAGAGAAATGCTTCATTTCTGACGTCTTCATTTTATACATAAAACCAATGAAGGGAGCCTGAAAGGAATTGTCACAGGTTGCATGGATTTTATATCATGGGATCCACAGGCCACTGATGTATTTTTTCTGTCATGTATTAGCTCTGGTCTGCACTTACATTTTGAATTTTTATAATAAAGTCCCACTGAATTCTTTAAAACAAAGAACACTATGGTAAAACGACCAGCATGTTGCATTCAGCATGAAATAGCTTCCTAGAAGAGTGTTGCTATTTGCATACTAAAGCTCAGTTTTTTATTAGACTGAGTAATACATTCTGTTTAATTAGCCTTGTCTATGAAGCATCCATCCAGGGCCTGAAATTGCCTGGCCAGCACAAACCAAAAACGGTGAAACCTTTATTTTGCAGGTTGTCAAGTTCTACAATCAAAATCTAGCAAGAAAACAAAAAAAAGCCAACCCCAGACTCCTGAGCGGACCTCAGTCATGCAGCAAAACCAGCTGGAACACACCAGT